GGGGAGCATTTTGTGGGGCTACACCGGCAGCCCCTGCCCAGCCCCACGCAGGGACCCGCAGTGGGCTTGGTCCCCTCCCCCCGGGATCCACCGTGGGGCCCCAGGGCAGAGCCTGGCCGGACCCAGGAGCGTTAGGCTCCTGCTGGGACAGCAACTCCGAGTCCCCCGCGGGCAGATCCCGGCGCTGCGAGATGCCGGTGTAACGTGCTTTTGACCAAAACCCCCATCCCTCCTGATTCGCAACCCCATGGACCAGGCGGTAGCAAATCCTGAGCAGTAGCCCAGATGGTCACGTTGCGTGGCGGAAACTGCAAATCGGGAGGGCTGCTATACGTGTCGTCACACCGGGTCCCCCCCACGGACACTGGGGCAGAGTCACCGCCCAGCCCCGGGGCTCGCTCCGGTACCTGGAGACTGCAGCTCCGCAGCGGGGCGGGCAGAGCCCGGGGCAGCTCCAGCGGGAGCAGGGCCCGGGCCGGGCACGGCACGAGGAGGATTAATGAAGGTCTTCGCGGTTCAGTCGGACCCTCCCTTGTTCTCCAGCCCCGCAGCACCGGGGGAGGGCACATGCCCAGTGCTCTGGGAAATGCAGATCTGCGCATGCCCAGAACCGGGAGACACAACGGGGTCCCATCTGTCCCTGAACCAGCCTCAGTGGGCGGGGCAGAGACGAGCGCTCAGCGGCGCAAAACTCTTCTCCGGCTCCGGGAGAGGCTCCAACGACCCCGCACGAGCCAGGCAGAGCCGCAGCGCCCCGCGCGCGTTCACAACCCGACTCGTCATCCCACCCCCAGCCAAACGTCACTTCCGCTCCCGGAAGAGTCAGGAACTACATCTCCCAGCCTGCGCCGGGGGGCGCTTCCGCCCTCTGCAGCCCAGGTAAGAGAGGGCCCCGGGACCAGTCTGACCCTTTCCCCATCTCCCCCTCCCCTCGCAGAGACCCCGTCCCCAGCCGGCGCCTCTGAGACCCGCCCCGCCTCGGAACAGTGGCCCCGCCCGGAGCCCCCGGCCCCTCCCCGCTTCTCAGGCGAACTCTCGTGTCCTCGCGGGGCGGGGAAGCCTCAGCCCCGGGGTCTTTGGCCCGGCTGCCGGCAATGGGGGGGGTCTCTGCCCGAGGGGCGAGTCCCAGGACCGGTGTCGGGCAGCGGGTCACTTGCGCCCCCGCCCGAGTGTCCGATCCAGAGACCCCCGCGTGTCCCCGCGCCTGGGGCCTGAGCCCGGCTGGGGAGTGTCCCCCCTCGCACCCGAGCCTGAGCCACTCACCCCCGGGGTGTGAGCGCCGCGCGCCCTTGTCCTCCTGGACAATTCAGCTTGTGCCACTATCCTGGGGGCGGGGCTGAGGCACAGACC